GGAAGCCCAGCGGCTCATATTTTCATAGTCCGAAAGAGGTTGCATGGTTTGGACTTCAGACTCGAGATGGCTCATATTGAAAATCGCATTGAGCACTATTACAAAGAAAAAAAGCGAAAAGAAAACACAAAACCAAATGAAGCATGTAGTTAGTTTTGTGGACTTAAAAACTGATTTAAGTACAATACAACATGAATCACATACTTGCGCCCTGGTTAACATGTTTGCTACCACAAATGATTTACATTGTAACACTAAGATACAAACAACAATAGATGTCCCAGCCTTTTCTTAAAAATGATTTTCTTAAAAATGAAATTCTTTGCATTGAACAAAGGCATCATTAAGTTCTAAGTAACACCAACTTTACACCCTTTTTTTCTGTTTCAATTCTGATAATATGACCAAGTACAATTTGAGGTTGATGTTTACATGCAAGCAAGGGGGCAAAAAAAGGTTCTCCAAGCAAGAGACTGAGAATATCCATGGATGGATATTACCTGCAAAAATTCCCCACAATTATCTTCTTTGTTGAATGCATCTTCAGCAAACGGGATAATTGACGATAACCCCCTTGTTGGCAAATCCTTCATCATATGCCCCCTACCGCTGTCTTTGAGAATATCCGTGGATGGATATTACCTGCAAAAATTCCCCACAATTATCTTCTTTGTTGAATGAGACTTGTCTGCTGATTCACACGTACATGAAACCTACAGTTGGTCCTCTAATTCGTTTGATGAAGTTAGAATTCTTTTTGAATGCATAAAATCTGTTGGGACTGCTTCTTATCAGAAAATTGTTAGCTGGAGTTGAAGCATACAAAAGTAGAAAAGAATGTAAGTACATATATGTTCAGTAAACGCAGGTGAGTACCTAACATATTTATGGGAATCCAAGGTTTTATGTCTGTTCATCAAGAAGATATGCATGGACAGATATATTGATGAATGGAAGCACTGGCAATAGCAGAAGGATTGCTGAAAAGAAACATTATTGATTCAATATCCAGTCAAAGCTTTTTTATCACCAAACAGGGACAACCAAAGTGCTAGTCTGGTACTAACTTCCATCCACCCCACCGCATGAATAACTTCAACATTGCACGACAACGAACGACGGGAGTGTGTAGTCAAGAAAAAAGCAGGCAAAACAACAAACATGTGTCCGACTGAAAATGCAACTTTAACTATCCGACTGAAACCACAAACAGTTAACCCAGCAGTCACTTGCTGTTGCAAGACAATGCGACTTTAACTATCTGACTGAAACCACAAGCTACAGGCCTGAAGAAGAGATGGCACAAATCCTCAACTTAACTAACTGGCCACTTCTATTGCTGGAAAAACATCTCTCTCCGAGTCTCTGTAGCACAGTACCATCAGGTGACACCAGCCAGCAGCCAACAAACCAGATTTGTTCTGTAAAAATTAGATCCCAGATGAATCCCCGAATCAAAGCAGGGCAGCACCGCACCAGCAGATTACAACCTGATCATAGAACATGAAGCAAAACATAATTGTGGAAGACTGAAGATTATGTGGGCTTATTGATTCCAGCCTGGAGATTATAATCCGCAAAAATAGGGCAGTATTAAGATGTAGATTTCTAGAGTTGTTATACTGTTGTTTGTTATAGCTGATTTCTAGAGTGCCCGTGCGTTACCACGGGCTTTTGAATATATTGCTGGAATTATATAAACATAATACATGTTAAATTTCACGTGAAGAGAATAGATAGCACAGGCAAAATCAGCTAATAATTAAAGTCAACTTCACTTGCAACGTAAATTGATAACAAAAAAAGGTATTCTGATGACTTATGCATATAGAGAGATTATCTAACTAAAACCAATTACAAATTAAGATCCATTTGATGCGCTTAAGAAATTCTCGCACAATATTAAGAATATTGACTTTAGCTCCATTCGCATGAAATTTGAACAAGTATAACTAAAAAACCCTTCCTCAACTCATACCCAACCTGCACAAGCAATATATGTAATTAGCACGAAGAATTCACGTCGGAGGTCTTAAAATGTGTAATGGAGAATACTCATTGGGCAAAGTGGATGAACTAATTCTTCACCGTTCCACCAAAGCATAAAATAATATAAATAGTCACACACATCCCCACAATTTTCGAAATTAATATTATTTTGACTGTTAAGATAATGCAATATATAAATTTATTGTTCGTCTATGCTCATTGGAATACCAAGCAGAAATTAGCATGTCCACATTTTGGTAGTTGACAGGTTAGTCTGCTGGGGTGAACGTTTGACATGGGCCAGGTGATAGTTGTTGGTGCGCTAGGTTCCTCAAAAATAAATTAGCATGTCCACATTTTGGTAGTTCTATTATTCATGAATGCAATCTTTGATTAACCCTTTTTTAGAAATCACGTAAGAGGGATTTCCACCACATACCCAAACACTTGTTTTTCATTTTCAATGCTCAAACGTGAAAACAGTGGAGCACGTGTCCGGTTCTACCGTCAGAGTAAGTGTCAAGTATAATCCTTGGGCAGGAATTTACTAAAGCTAGTGCTTAACCTAACATTAATAGCTTGATAGAGATTTGCCTCAAAACCTCCATGGCCAATGAACTGCATAGTCCAAAAGAACAACTTTGCTACCAATCCCACCTAGGAGAAAAAACAATAATTTATGATCAATCAATTTATGTTATGTGATCTTTTTTGTTTGTTATTCCCTCTATTTCTAAAAATAATCCTTTTTCGATATTTCAATACGGACTACATACGGATGGATATAGACAAATTTTAGAGTGTAGATTCACTCATTTTGCTCCATATATACTCTATATTGAAATCTCTAAGAAGGCATATATTTAGGAACATAATGAGTACAAAGCATCTTCAACATAACAAACTGAAGGCTTATATTTAGAAACGGAGGGAGTACAATTGAGAATCAACAGCACAAACTATGCTCCATCCTACATCCTAAAAGCAAATGAATGAAAATTTTCAGGGAGTTAGAGCAACTGCAACACACCGACCCATTTCATTTGTTTGTGTCCGTGCAGACGAAAAAGTTGGCCCAATGCAGTCATCGCCGCCGCAACGCCATCGCCTCCGTTCCCCCGCGCACGCAGGAACAACAGATGCATGAGCAACATCTTCAGTCACCGCTGTCGCGCAAGCAGGAACAACAACAGCCAGTCACCGCAACAGCAGTTGCAGTCGCCGCCGCCGTGCTCGCCCACCGCGACGGCCGTCACGTAGTTCTGCCGCCGTGCTCTGGCTCCATGGATCCCAAACTGGACCTCGCGAGGGTTGTGACAGGCAGCGCCCGCCCGTGACAAGGAGTCCGTCGCGAGCTCCACGACGGACAGTGCCAGGCCACAACATCCCTCTGCGGGCGTGTGCTCCTGGTCGACGCAGGTGGCAGCTGCACCTGCCTGGTGCTCGCGAGTCCGGCCTGGCCCCGCCTCGCCGTGCCGAGCCGCCTCCCACACCCGGTCACCCACCTCCGCGCCCCTGCGCACGCAGGAACAATAGATGTGTGAGCAGCATCTACAGTCATCACTGCCGCGCAAGCGGGAACAACAATGTTGAAGTATAAAAACAGATGCACCACAACATAAGAATGTCCGTGGTCATAGCATAACACAGTAGTATTGCGCAACACCATATCCAAACCATTCGCGCATCCAGAAGTTAGAAAACCTCACCCACAAAAATGAAATATTAGTGGCACACAGTGGGAGAACAAACCTTCTGGCGCTTGAATGTACACATATTGCAGAAACACACATGTGGAGAAAGAAGAAAAAATCTTGTATAATCAAAAAGCTGGTAAAAGCTAATTATATATCCCCATGAGCAAAACGAACTGATAAACGACTAAAAACCAGTTATGTTTCCTAACTTGTGGCAAACATTCATTACATATGGCAAAAAATTTAATGACCACCTGTTACAGTTTTTAGGTTTCTTGTGAAACCTTCTGACAGTGGTTTAATAAAAAAAATATAGTTCCAAATAGAAACTTTGAAAAAGAGTAATGCATATTGATCATCCCAAAGGGTACAGTGCAGAGAAGCAAGAAAAAACACATGGATAAAGTGAACTGCTCTGGTTTCCGAAACAAAGCAAAAATGTACAAACAAACCTACAAAATTTGACTTCCATGAAGGCTACAAGACTAAATGGAGAAAATCCATCGTCCTACAAGAGCACTGTAACTATTTTTGCCCCCACTCTAACCTATCATGAATTTATTTTCAAGCAACATTTCGTCACAAACCAATCTACCAATTCTTACCATATCAATAAATTCCTGGTGAAACTAAATAGGAGAGTACTTAACAGTTCATTTCACGTCCATCCGCAAACATTCCTTTCTAGCATGCACGTGAGGAAGGTATTAAATCTTTCATACAATCACCACAATCTACATTGGCTAGAAACAATAAAAACGATTGGTGCCGGTAGAAATAATGAGTTGGCCAAGCTGCGTGACCGTTGCTGTGATACTGACTTCTCAAAATAAGGAATCCTCCAACAGTGATAAAAAGTAGAGTAATCTCCTCAACTAAAGAAGGCAAGGGATGAGACTGACGTTTTTCTGTAACTGGCTTTTAGTTATATGTATGATAAAAAGAAAGGAACAAAGAACACAATAAAAGTGGCTACAAATATATAAGTATAAAAAACGTGCAACTACAGAAGTACCAATTATCTAACAAAAGTACGATGATACTTTCCCGAGATGATTGTCGATTGATACAGTGATCTAATCCTCTAATTACCAACTTGACAACTAACCTAATGTCTACAGACACAAAGCAAATACTCTTGGAAAAAATCGACACACAGAAAAATACAAATGTTCCTGGACCATTCAAAGTGTACATGAAAGCCATACATATGAGTGGACTCCCACGTCCATATGCAAATTTTCAAGCCTAAGATGTGGCTGTACCTGCTTTGGTCAGTTTGACAGCCCCAGCTTCATTAGTCTTTGGATCAGTCTAGGAAAGGCATCTGGGTGATTGGTTCCTATAAATAAATTGGACAATATAAATTTAAACAATTTGGCTTACCCATAAATCTAACAAATCTAAGCTGGAGCTGCAAGCTACGCTGAGACAACCAAAAGTTTAAAGATGAACTGTTGAAGAAAAAGTATCCACTTGAAAAGGAAAAGAAATAGGAACAAAACGATGTCGCTCTACTATCGTCTCTCCCAACTACATTCCCCTAGCTTGCCCTCTCACCTCCCCGCATATCAACCAAAATATCTGATCGAGACCAGACAAAAGCAATGGTGGGAGAGTGATGTGACAACAATGAGCTGGGCCAATGCTCCCAAGAGAAGAGTGTGTCAGTGATGGGCGTCGTCTAGGCGATGCCAGTGGCGATACCTAGGGTGTTCTATGTAACAAGTTCACTGCCATTTTTTTGTCTAAAGCAACACATATATGTGGAAATCATGTAAGAATAATTAAACTATTATAAATATATGTATTTTACAACTTTGAGTTAGTGTCATAAACATATTTGTGCTTGAATGGAACTGTCGTAAACCTATCGAAATTGAAGAAAGAGTAACAAGATGTGTTAGCATTACCTTGCAGTTGGACCACCATATCCGAGCACATCCTTTGACTGCCCAGCAAAGGTCCTCCCTCTCGCTCAAACAGGAGGCACACACCCAGCTAGCAGGCTGTTTCGCATACACGCTGATAATTTTGCCTTGGTTGTCGGCAAGTAGGCCGGTATATTCAGCTATCATCAGGAACTCCTCTTCACAACTGTATTTTGGCGGAAAAAAATCTACTGAGACCAGATGCATAATCATGGAGGTAGCTCAGTTTTCAAGGCATAAGATGGGTAAGCTATCCCAAAAAATGAACAACCATCATGCATATCCATATGGGAAGGGAGTATTAATTACTAACCTTGAAGAACTTTCTTTTGGAGAAAATTACTAACCTTGAAGAACTTTTTTTTGAACCTGATGCTGTGGAACGGTCATTATGCCTGCCCAAATAAAAGGAACTGCTTATAACTTGGCAATTATGCATACCTAAAAGAATAATTGAGTACTGGATGTTCAAGCATCAAAAACTTTTCAACTGGATGTTCCTTACCACACATCAAGTCAATCTTAACATTTTTCTGACCCCATGTCTTCTTCATTCAGCAGCAACTTAAAAGATTGTACTTAATTATAGAATAAATAAAATGCATATCAGACTTGAGTATATATTATATAAAAGATGTGAGTCCAGAAAGAAGTCCAATTTTAGTCCATGATGTGTAAATAGTCCAATTTTAGTCCATGATGTGTAAATAGTCCAGAATGTAGTCTGCTTGGCTAGCGAGCTAGTGTCACCGCACCATTTGTCAACCTCACCCTTTGAGCGTCATCGCTCTCTCGTGATGTGGCTTCCTGGATGCCTTGCCTGCCGTCGACCTAGTGCTTCTTGACAGCCAACACGTCAAGCCCTTCATGGTTGCATTGCCACATGGTAACAGAGGCAACTGCAAGTAACAACGACAGTCCAAGTAGAACAAATAAGATGATTATGAACTGGTCCTTCTCTTGCTTACCTATCTGGTGGTCCATGCTGCCCACATATTTGAGGATTTACAGTGAGGAAATTGAACCTTAAATTAGATGACAACAAGCTATATAAATAAATATTTTGCAAGAACAGAATGAATGTATACTAACTTCAAAATGTAGTTATCTGATTATCTAGGTGTGGTTAGTTGGGAGTCAATTGTCGTTTTATCTGATTATCTCTCAGACGAAATCAGTAAGACCAAAAATTGTCGTGCACCCATCAGTCTGACAAAATCAGTAAGACCAAAAATGTAAGTACTCATCATCTGCAACCCGTGAGGAATCAGTGGTTTGCCACCGAATGATGGGTAAATAAAAATACAGCTGAAGCATCTTCAGGGAAGCAGTCGACCATGAAAATATAGAGCCAACACTGAACCATTTCAAAAAATGATGACAGGTCCACTACGCCCCCTTGCTAGCTCAACTAAACACCTAACAATGCCCTCAAAATCAACACTAACACTCGTGGCTGAATAAAAAAAATCAACAACACTTCCCCCAACTAAACATTGGCCTGGACATGAAACTGCATGGATTAATTAACAACGATCTTATAGTATGCCTATGTGTGTACCCGCGCGTGGTCGTCACGACAAGGCAGACTTTGTCATCCATGGTAACAAGGCTTAAGTTGTGCACACCGGAGGAACTACGCGAAGAGGCACTAAAGGGGTGCTCTCCCTCACAAGTATTCCATGGTCAACCACCATAGCGAGCCAAACACCACAGATGCAGGGACCCCTTGACTGACACGTCAACCATGCTTGTTTCAGTAAGAAATTTGCATGCACTTTTAGCGAGTCAAGATATCGGCGCCAACAATTACATAAACCAAACAATGATATAAGTATAGAAGTCATTCGATTATTTAACTACATCACATCCATCTAGCTAACTAAAACAATAACCAAAATATATGAAAAAGGGATAATACTAACCATAAGCTTGTATATCTTCAGTCTTGGCTCATAACCAAACAAGTTGAAAAGGTAGAAACTGCTGATAGTAAAAAGAAGGTAAGTGAAACAATTATGAGATTTTCAAAGAGAAGCTCACTTTAGTTGTATGCAACCTTCGACAACCATGTCTTCATGTGAGCATCTCCTCAAGCTAGCAATAGTTCACCGTGACCCTTCTTTGCTTCTCACCCAGCCTATAGGATCGGCAATCAATTTATTCAATGAGAGAAACAAACTTAAGTACAAATCTGATGAAATTCGAACATAACTAGAAATAACCTAATGCAATCAAATCAACCAATAAACTGATTAAGATTTTTTTTCAAAAGGGGATAACCCAACTGATTAGAACATTACTTGCTAGATTTCATGTCCTTGTGTATCATATGAATACTCCATGCACATCAACATGTCAGGGGTGATGTGGCCACAGATGGGTTCCTCTTGTGTACCGATCAAATGGAACCACTTCATCCACGGAGGCGGCGTCCCTAGGGATTGGCAGAGGCGGCGGCGTGCCCTCGGCTTCCGTGATGGCGGAGGCGGAGGCAGGAAACCCTAGACAGAAATCGAGGGAGGAGTGGCGGCACAGTTTTTTCTTTTGTAATATTTTGTAAAAGAGAATAAAATGCAGGTGGTGGTGGGAGGTGGGACGGAAAAAACCCGGACGAAAGTGGTGGGACAAAAAAAACCGTGCCGTTGCCAGATTCCTACCAACAGCTCCATTAGGAGTAGAGACAAAAGCAAGGCTGCACACACCTAGGTTCGGCGCTCTTAATTAAATTTAACAAGCAGCAAAGAATTGAATGTCAAAATTCATCAAAGTTACTTAATCTGTTGTGAGCGATGACTTGTTGCACATACCAGAGGTCTAATATTCTTTCATTCTCTTCTCTTCTCTTTCGGAGTAATATGCAAAATTAGCTAGATCCATGCCCAGTCTACACTAAAAGAGCATAAGAACTTATTTCTGGGATTATAGGCTAAACAGAAGTATGGCAAGCTACGCAGATAACAAGGCAACTCGAAACTATTTTTTCAAGCAAATGTAAATAGTATCGAACACACATAAATCATACCACAGTATCATACTTCAGACGTAAACTGAACAAACAAAGTTCATATCAGAGTATTTAAACATAAGTTGTTTACATCAGCCAACATTATATCCAACGGAACTTGAGGAAATTATGTTCTTAAATACAGAGAAGGTTTACCTCACTGAATGGATCTTTTATATCATCACGCTCGACGCTGCTTTCCTGTAGAGTGCAGACATGCAAGTTAATTACTATGCATAAGAAGTCCAGCAGGTGTATTAGGACCACCGTATACTTACATAGTTAGGAAAAACAACCATGTCAACATCATCGGGGACGTCAGCTAACAGGCGTCTGATGGAATACTACCGGGATATAAAAACTCATCGGTGTCTAGATGCATTATCCAATCCATGCCAGATTCCTACCAACTGCTCCATTAGGAGTAGAGACAAAAGCAAGGTTGCACACACCTAGGTTCGGTGCTCTTAATTAAATTTAACAAGCAGCAAAGAATTGAATGTCAAAATTCATCAAAGTTACTTAATCTGTTGTGAGCGATGACTTGTTGCACATACCAGAGGTCTAATATTCTTTCATGCTCTTCTCTTCTCTTTCGGAGTAATATGCAAAATTAGCTAGATCCATGCCCAGTCTACACTAAAAGAGCATAAGAACTTATTTCTGGGATTATAGGCTAAACAGAAGTATGGCAAGCTACGCAGATAACAAGGCAACTCGAAACTATTTTTTCAAGCAAATGTAAACAGTATCGGACACACATAAATCATACCACAATATCATAATTCAGACGTAAACCGAACAAACAAAGTTCATATCAGAGTATTTAAACATAAGTTGTTTACATCAACCAACATTATATCCAACGGAACTTGAGGAAATTATGTTCTTAAATGCAGAGAAGGTTTACCTCACTGAATGGATCTTTTATATCATCACGCTCGACGCTGCTTTCCTGTAGAGTGCAGACATGCAAGTTAATTACTATGCATAAGAAGTCCAGCAGGTGTATTAGGACCACCGTATACTTACATAGTTAGGAAAAACAACCATGTCAACATCATCGGGGACGTCAGCTAACAGGCGTCTGATGGAATACTACCGGGATATAACAACTCATCGGTGTGTAGATGTATTATCCAATCCATGCCAGATTCCTACCATGAAGAAAAATGCTTTTTGTTTATGATAAATACAATACACTAAACGAACACTATTAATAATTGCTGGTGATAAGCCGAAAACAAACATACATACCCGGGCCATCACAATGGCCATCTCCATGTTGAGTGCTTGCTTCAAAAACAGTTTGTGGTTGCAAGGCTTGTAGAAGAATCCTGCGAGCCAGGTTTCGTTCCAGATTCGGCTGCAGGTGAAACATATACATCATCAGAATGGGCATCGAAATGAATTTGTGCAAAGCCCGACGAGGCACGCGGGCGGCGAAGATTGTTTCGGACCACTTGGCCTGCTGCTCCTCAAGCTCCTTGGTCCTGTACACCACCTTCACACCCCTAAAGAAGAAGAAGAGAAACAGAATCAGGGATTGAGAACAAGCAGAGTGAAATTGGTACTACTGGATTCTTGGAAATCTCAAGCGAGGAACGCACGGGGATGGACTCGAGGACCCCGGCGACGTTGGGCTTGGCGGCCTTGCCCTCGACGAAGAGCAAAAAGTGAGCGACGCCGATGACCTTCTGGTAGAGGAGCCACGGCAGGATCTGGTCCAGGCCTGCGGAGGTGTTCGTTTGCACGCACACCTGGCAAGCAAGCAAAAGATCAACAGGTCGGACACATCGGCCATGGTGAGTAGCTTCATGGTGGTCCGTGTTGAATAGCTTCAAGTGTAATCTTCAAAAGCAATCAGTATTAAAATCAGTTGATTCGGAAATAGAAAAGGCATCAAGGAAGCAACGTACCTCAAACTCTGGAACAAGACCTTGGTCTGCAGCAACATTTTGCATCAACCGGAACCATGGGCCAATTCGAGGGTTTGGCACCGCTTCCCATCCAGGCCTCCCACCTTGAGGGGGGGGGGGTCTCATCCTCCCTCAGATGTGGCACACCTTCAAAAGTAGATTCACAAGAATGAGCAAACCATCAATTATAAAACAATGATTGTGGTAAGAAGGAACCACTAATTAGTAATCAACATGCCTGTATGCATGTGGGTTGAAAAGCATGGACATTTCTCACAAACCATGAAACCAAACAATCACAGGCTCACAGTATACAGGGAAATCAGGAAAAATATAGAATATAATTAACTGCCGGTATGCTAGAAGAATAAGTGCAGTAACTTTCGAATGTATTAACAATTTGTATATGGTATCATATTTATGTATTTAATAGGATTTTACACATAACATATCGAGGTTTGATTGCACCTGTGTGTTAAACAAGATACAGACAGATGAATGCAGAACCAACTGATTGGATGGACAATGAGTGCAGGGCGGTTGGAGACCTCGGAAACAGCCTCTCGAGTGGCTTCCTGCCACCGATGGTCAAGATCATCCTCTGCAACAATGTTGCGTTCATGCTTCAATAACCTAACATTCCCATTTGTAAAGCTCTCCATCCCCTCCTAAAAACAAATATCAGCAACGGTTAGTTGGGAACTATGCCACAAACACATTTGTCAGATACCTTACGAATAAATAAAATAAGGATAAAAATTGCAGGTAACTTTTAACTGAGATCAGAGCCAGTGGAACATAATGGACCATTGTTTTGTTACATTACATGATCCTAGATCCCTGTACACCAGTGAGGTATGCAATTTACTACGGTATACTCATGGATAAAAAAATCTAGGGACAACGCACCTACTAAACAGTGTGCTTGTTACTCCCAGATTGCGCTCACTGCCACTATGTTGGCAGCAACAGTGGCCATGCCTCCGGTCACAAGTGTACTTCCAGATACTGAAATAGTCTCCATACACAGCTTTGGCAACAAATTTCTATTTTCTGTATCAAAACCTAGAAGTATAGGTTGAATCTATTCTTCAAGATAAATCTAATCAAATTATTTCTTTTAGACTAACCAAAATAATGATACAGAATACAGTCAGAATAATTTTACTACACGCATTTTATGATGACATCTATCCCCACATGGAGGTTTACAGTAGACAAACAAAGAGCGAAATTCTGGCCTTCACGAAGCAAATCGTGAGGCAGGGATTTCTCTCATCGAACAAGCTTCCTGCTTCACAGGTCGGACACATCGGCCGGCGACCGGCGAGGAAGAGGGCGGAGGTGAGATTGGAAAGGTAGTACTCTGGGGTGGTGGGTGTCTGCCGTGTCGAAGTGGAAGGACCAGCCGTGGAGGTAGGGGAAGGCGGGGGCGCCGAGCACCTCGACGCAGGAGGCGGCAGAGGATTGGAGGGACTGCAGCCTCGACGGGGCCGGCACGGCCAGGCGAGGGGAGCCGGCGTCGTCCACGCCGCCGCCATGCCACTGGAGCGCGAACGCGAGGAGGGCGAGCGCGAGCAGTTGGGCGGTGAGGAGGAGCAGCAGGTGGCGCCACGCCGCGGCGCTGCCGCCGACGCGGTGGAGGACGGCGACCGGAGATCGGGCCGAGGGCGACGCGCCGACGCCAGAGAAGAGCACAACCCTAGGTGGTGGGGGCGGCCGCGACGAGAGGTGGCGGGGGCGGCAGCGATGGGCGGCGGCGTTTGAGGGAGGGAGATGGGGGAGGGGATCGGCGGCGGCTGCGAGGGCGAGGGCGGCGGCGAAGGATCTGGTGGGGCGTCGCCAGGAGTGAGGGAGGAGTTGGGAGCGAGCGAAGGATCTGGCAGGTGTTTTCGATACGATGACGAAAATAAACCGATGTACGATGACGAAAAAAACCCGGCGGTGGGAGTATAACGAAAAAAACCAGCAAAAATTGACCGGACGACTATTCACCAAGTCGTCCATTAGGAGTAGAGATTAGTTCTTGTATCGGGAACAACGGTGCGCTTAGCCTTTTATTTGTGAATCGCTAGTACCGATGGAAATCTAGGTCTCTAGTATATGTCTTTTGGTCTTGGTAATAACTAGTGTTAAGTTGAGCTTTTGGTGATTATGTGAATCTGGTGAACATGGAGGCTTCAATGTAATGGATATATATTGTGCATGAATGGGATGTCATCTTAAACTGGGGCATGTGACCTTTGTTTGTGCATGAATGTAAATAAATATACCATTATTGGCAGTGAATTTGTGCAATTAAATATTATTTTGGTTTCTTTTGATTGAATAATCATTCCTGTCGAGGGTTGTATAATCTTGACGGTGCTACAGCTTGAAGGGGCAACTCTGCTTGGTCATTCCTAAAGGCCAGATTGGTCTTTCATGGCGTAGTAAGATTCCTGAAGGCCTGCTCCTAACTCTCAGGAACAGAGTACATTTGTGACGGCCAAATTCCTGAAGGATTTTCCTGACGGTGCATCCGTTAGGTATCTTGGTTGGTCGATTTCGGTGTGCCTGTCAGGAAACACCGTCAGGAACGTGTCTTATTCCTGACAAGTTGTTGCTGACGGGAGATTCCTGACGGCGTGCCTACATTCCTGACAATTTTGCCTCATTCCTGACGGGATTTGGCCGTCAGGAAAAAGTCTGTTTGGGGTAGTGTTAGACGTGAAAACTAATAGGAAACATATATCATATCGATACGTGTGTACATATTTGTTTTGGTTATTTTCTAGACTTGAAAAAATATATCTCCTTTTTCAAAATTTCTGGGTTAACTTGTGCATAATTTATTTTCAGTTTTGAGAAGGCACATCTAAAAAGTGCCATAAGTATTGCATATCTAAGTCTAATGTCATTGAATTTAGTCGGATATTCGTGTTGGTACTTTTTATGCTTGATTGAGTCACTTATTAGATGTGCAATAACTAGGAAAAACACTATGGTTCAGCTCGCGGATCACACACAATGTGTTCGCCGCCTCCTACATCCAACACGTGTCCTTATGTACTATCCGCCTCACACTCGCAACCATGGTTGCTGCTCGGGCGTGCACGCCCGAGCTCCGCTCCGACCGTCCACGATGCTATTTTATACTTTTTGCAACAAAGGTTTTGTTGCAAAAGTTGTCCCGCAACATCATCTCTGTTGCATAAATTTCTTGATTCGCACAGCAAACGACATTTTATCTTTGCAGTGAAAAAAATCTGCAACATTTTCCATGTTGCAAAAGTCCTCCCGCAACATTATCTATGTTGCAAAAAAGGTGAAGACGATTTTTTTCTAGACACCACCATTGTTGCAAAGTCCTCCCGTACCATTATCTATGTTGCAAAAAAATGAAGAAAAGAAAATTAGGGCGAAAATAACGCTTCGATGGTTTTGCAACAAAGCAACTGCTGTAGAGCGAGTTGTGCAACATCTACCTTGTTGCAGTTTTAGACGCACCTCATTTGGGAGATCGTGCAACTATTTGTGGAGAGCAACTAGTTAACGATTGCTCCTTCGGAAGCTTCCCAATGATCACTTGGGGGTGGGCTGAGAACTTCCCACTTGGTGTGCTCTCAGTAGCTGCCACGTGTTTCGCTCTGCATGTTTCCTTGGGATTTTATTTTTTTAATTCTTCTGCACGAGTTTCAACTTTTTTGATGGGGGTTTTCTCGGTTTTTTCAGAGGTCTTTCTTAGCTTTTGGTTTTTCACAGGTGTTTCTTAGCTTTTGGATGAAAAAATTCAAACTTTTATATGTGCGAAAAAACACGTTTTAGTTTTTTTTGCTTTCGCGAGAGGCACGGTCGTGCCTCTCAAAAAAAGAAAAAAATGTGTTTTCTTTTTTTCCTTCCACCAGAGGCATAGTTTTACTTCCGCGAGAGTCATGGTCACGCCTCTCGAAAATGAAAAACAAAACTCGTTTTATTTTATTTTTCCTTCTGCGAGAGGCACGATTTTCCTTCCGCGAGAGACACGGTTTTGCTTCCACGAGAGGCACGGCAAAAACTTGTTTTTTTTCTTCTGCTAGAGGCACGGTTTTGCTTTCGTAAAAGACACGGCCGTGCCTCTTTTGGAAAGGAAAAAAATGTGGTCCCGGTTTGGTTTTTTCGTTTGGTTTTTTATGAAAAAAGTTCATCAAAACTTATCAACATGAGATCTAGTTTTAAAGATTTTGACACGAGGAATTCAATGGTGAAAACAGTTCAAGATTTGGACGCACGGCTTAATAGATAAACGGTTTTGATTAAATGGATCTACGAAAAAGGAAAACTTCCACGTTGCAACAAGTGGCGTGTAGGGTAAAAATGATATTTGGAAGAAGTACTCGTCAATTAGTGATTTCACTATTTGCGCCTTAATCCTACGACGCGGAAGGTGGAGGGTCTTTTAAATAGATCCGTCGGCCTACGCGTAGCACGACCCAATAACTAAGGCACATCTAGGGCCTCATCGATTTGGAGGATTTTCATAGGAAAAGACATACCAATAATGTTTCCCGAGGAAAATTTTCTATAAACGCATTCGGTTTGTAGGAAATGAGTACATAAATTTCATAGGAATACTATTCATTTTCTGTGTTTTTGAAGAAACTACATATCCACTAAGAGCTCATTTTATGCGTAGGAACGAAGCAAGTCAATTCCTTAGGATGGCCCTATCAAAATCCTATACTAATCCTCATACGTTTTGGTTTCCTACAAGCCGAATGAGACTGCATTTTTTTCTACTTTAGCAGCAAGGGCTGTTCGAAATGGGCTGCGCAAAAATCGCACGTAGCTCGGCCCGTGTGCCATGGCGAAACAGCCAACGCCGCCACCTCAAACAGCGCGCAGATCCGGCCGGGCGGCTGGAGCGTTGGTCGTGACGGCA